ATGAGTGGTGTATGATGAGTGGTGTATGATGAGTGGTGTATGATGAGAGGTGTATGATGAGTGGTGTATGATGAGTGGTGTATGACGAGTGGTGTATGATGAGTGGTGGTTGAACAGTGGTGTATGATGAGTGGTGTATGATGAGTGGTGGTTGAACAGTGGTGTATGACGAGTGGTGTATGATGAGTGGTGGTTGACCAGTGGTGTATGATGAGTGGTGGTTGAACAGCTCTTGAATGTCCGTAACACGGAAGTTTTGCACACTAAACTTCCTTTGACTAGCAGATATGCCGGCCAAAAGTTTGCAGCTCCTTCATGAAAAGTCTCAATTTGCCATCGGCCTAAATCGATGCCAATCTTGGTTGCTTCGCCAAGAGTGAAGATAGATAAACAAACTAGGAGCAAGGACGCTACTAGGAGCAAAGGGCATCGCTACTAGGAACAAAAAGATACTTCACCAAAACTGACTGCACTACACCACCACATCGGACATCATCACGTGACCAGCTCACTCGTCACAGTTTTGTCGTGAGCATCTTCGCAAAAAACCACTTAAAACATCTTCCAACGTGTTTTCAATACTCAAACTTCAATCCCCATTGTCACAAAAGCAAACATCCCCAGCGACAATGAGCTGGAAGAAAAACCCAATCATCTCAAACGTCACATATCTAGTCATCACATCTCTCGCAAAACAAGAAAAATAACAGAGGAGCAAGGACGCTACTAGGGGCTCCTGGCCTTACTAGGAGCAAAAAGCTACACGGAACAAAGGGCATCTCTGGGAGACACTTGCAGCCTAGTTGCCCTACCGACCCACTGATTTCGATTGGACGCTCTTGGGTGGACTTCTCCAGCCATGACCAAGATCTCCTGGACTCCGCTCGACTGGTGGAGTTTCAATTTCGCCCTGGCTGTGGCTTCATCCATCCAGTCGCCAGATTTGGTAATGTTTTTGCGGAAGTTGCCTCGGAGTTGATTTTGCAAGGATGCTACGAACGTAGCTCCTGGCCTTACTACTAGTAACAAGAAGCTACTAGGGGCTCCTGGCATCGCTACTAGAAGCAAGGACGCTACTAGGGGCTCCTGGCCTTACTACTAGGAGCATTCTTACTACTAGTAACAAGAAGCTACTAGCTAAGTTGCCTCGGAGCAGTTGATTTCTTACAGGCCATGGCTAGTAACGGGTAGTAGGGTGGAGGCCATCGCTACTAGTCTGAGTGGCAGTAAGTGCAAAGGTTGAAGCATTCAAAGGTTGGCACCAGCGTGAAGGAAGGAGAATATGTGATTCTTCGTCTTGACACACTTGACAAAGAGGTTTCCTGATTCTTCAAAGGATCTCGCACGCAACCATCCATGCAGTCAGGCTCAGAGCTGAAATGTCTAGCGTTGCCAGTCCGCGCAAGGTGCACACCGCGCACACCGCCCAAGCCAGTAGTCGTTGTATTTGTTGTAACCCTCTTGCTTGCTCGCTTTGAGGCAAAGCGGTGGTCAGGAGAGGAGATGAGTTGGTGAAAAGAACCAAAGCTCTTTGCATCCACCACGTCCAAAGCCGAATGAGACATCTCTCCCTCAACCGGCGGCGATGGCTTCTTTGCTAGTAATTAGAATTCTAATTAAATTCTTTGTGTTCCTAGTAGTAAGGCACTTGTTTCTAATAGCAAACATTGTTACTACTAGTAAGGCACCTGTTACTACTAGTAAGGCACTTGTTCCTAGTAGCTCCTAGTTGGTGGAAAGACGTCCAAAGCCGAATGAGACATGTCTCCCTCAACCGGCGGCGATGGCTCAAGCGCCTGCTCTTCAGACAGCGATGAACCGACGATGACAGCGGGGTTTTGGAAGCGGCGCACAATCTCGTAGCAAGTGCTCCTCTGCGCCGAGCACACGAGGCCCCAGGCAAACGAAGAAAAAGCGAAGGGAAAGACGGAAAGACTTCTATAGGCAGCTCGCAAAATAAACAAAACACCTAGAAGGAAAGGCCTTTCAAAAAGTCGAACATCGACAGAACAACCACAGGCAAACAGCTTGCAAAGTAAAAACTGACAATAGAGGCCTGGAGGCTTTAAAACACATGAAGCAAGAACAAAAGCAAGGTCTCAAGGTATGAGAAAACTGAAAAGCATGTCAAGAGCTATACACAGCTACAGAACCAAACAAATCAACTGCCAGTCAAGGTCTGAAAGTGTAAAGAACCATGCACACATTTCCAAATACAAGAAACAAAAAGGTCAGACAAGATTTGTTGTACTTAGACAAACAAAGGACATCAAAGCAAATAGAAAGAGGTTTAAAGAAGAACTAGAGTGAGAACAAAACTAGAATCGAAGTTTTTGGATAGCAAAAAGAAGAAAGAAAACTCCAAGGATGTCTAAAGGTTCCTCTGTGCCACGGAGCGTGCAGGATCGCCCAGGCTCCAAACAAGGTTCTGCAAGTCTTTGGGTCTAGCCAATTGCCCATGCGTTGCACCTGCGGCGGTAGAGATGGCCTTCAACCTGATAGCAAATATAAGACTCCTTTCTTCCTATTCATTCTTTGTTTCTATTAGCGATGGCCTCCAACCTACTAGCGATGGCCAGTAGCGCACCTGCAGCGGTAGAGATGCTTTCATTCATCAACGTCCCTCCCAGGTCGTTGGCGCCACAAGCCAAAAGCAGCTGCGCCACCTTGAAGCCTTCCTTGACCCAACTGACTTGAATGTTCCGGATACCTCCTCTAACAGATCACAATCTGCGACGTGTCCACGAACGGAAAGCAACCACATCAAAACAACTAGGTTGGATTCCTGTGTTTTCGAAATCACGTCTCCATCACACACCCGTTCAAACGATTGCCCAACGCTTTCGAGCAGTGTCGCGCCGCAGCAAATCACACCCATCATCCAAGGATGCTTGGCTTTGCTTGCATCATATTGTAGGTTTTGTCATCTTGAGAAACCAGGGCGGAGATTTCTAGAGAAGGACTGTGACATACTGTGACTAAACAACCAGTTCAGTGATAGTAATTAATGAGTTCGCAAATGCATGCCGTGTGCAAGGCAATCATCATCGAAACACACACACACACACATTCATTAGGGCTGTATGAAGTTTCGTTTCAGTTCTCCTGGCAGAAAGGGGTTGAAGACCAGTCTCGCCACAGCATGGGTGCGCAAAAGCTCCACCCCAGTTGGCCCTGGCCGGACTCGAGGCAGCTGCGGAGTTGCAAAGTCTCCAGCGTCTTCCGCTTCCGGCCCTGCAGGTTCGGATCTCCACATTGGAGCTTCTGATGCGACAAACCCTAAGGGCACCTTGGCTTCAGAATGCCACCGCGTGAAGCACATGATGTTCCATGACTTTTCCACTTGTCTCAACTAGAAAACATGCTGTGGAAACATGAGGCAGTAGCGTCTTCCCGCGTTGAAGTTTCCGATTTAGCTCCGCTGGTGAAAGTACCCGCTAGTTCTCCGGGGGGGAAGCTGAAGTTAGTTTCGGTGGGCAGGCAGGCTCGTGGCAAAAATGCAACCAAACGGTGTGCGCCCCTTGTACACGCCCTACAAGGAGCAGAACACATCCAATGACGGCCATTTGCTAGCCACAGCGACATTTCGATTATTCCAATGCATGTCCTGTGAGAAAGCCTCTAAACATAGCCCGGTGGTGATGGTGTTGAGGATGATGGAAGGTGATGAGGATTGAATACAATCATGATGGTGATGATGGTGATAACCGTGATGATTGCATTGACAATGGCGAAGAGGTAATGATGCGCAAACTTCCTCGCACATGCATAAGTTTACCTTTTCCTGACACTGTGTTTCCTAAGCCGGGATGAAACCCTTATTCCGTGTTTCCACGCACTTTCGAGCATTCCCAAGGAGCACTGAAACTGACAACCACAGGCTCCTTAAGGTAGACCTGACTTGGAACTTGCGGTGCAGCCTGCACTGTGCGCAGTGTCTATACTGTAGCGATGCCCTTTGCTCCTAGGAGCGTCCTTGCTGCGATGCCAGGAGCCCCTCTACGCTTTCCCTCTCCACTCTTTGCCGCCAAGCTACAAATTCTGTGAATCCCCCTTGAGAGGACTCTTGCGCACGTTTTTGGAGGTCTCGAAGCAAGATCAGGTGGTTGGCCACATGCCGCGGCGATTCGCAAAAGCCAAACATCATGGTGGAAGTTGTTGGAAACCCAAGGGAGTGAGCTGTGGAGACAACATGAATCCATTCTTCCACTGAGATACGGCCTTTGGACACTTGTGCCCGCAATTCATTGTCGAGGATCTCAGCACTGGTGCCTGGCAAACTATCAACGCCAGCGTCCTTGAGCTTCAAGAGATAGTCACGGATGGCCAAATTGGAACGTTTGGCTCCCCAAAGAACTTCTTCAGGCGAGAAAGCGTGAAGGTGCAAGTCCGGATGCCTTTCCAAGGTTTGTGTACGACAAAAGAACTGGTAGGTGGCCATTAGCTTATATTGGCTTACTAGCCATGCTTTGCAAATCTCGTGGCACACCAGCCTTGCCTGTGTTTGATAGCCTTCGCAATGGTTTCATAGAGAGAACCTTGCCTGAGCCAAGCGTATCTCACAATGCTAGGCTGCGAAACATTGAATTTGGAGTCCACACCAAATCTTCGTTTTTTTGGAGGCGGTAGGCTGCGAGTGGAGGTAGCTAGGTAGGTAGCTAGTAGGAACTGAGGTAGCTACACCTGCAAGTAGCTACTACCGACTGGACGCAGGATAGCTCGCGCTTCTTCAAGGAAGCTCAGAAGCGCTCGCACTAGTAGAAATGCCCTTGTTCCCAGTAGTAAGGCCAGGAGCCCCGTTCGTAGCGTCCGATCGCTCCGTTCGAGTCGCGATGCCCTTTGTTCCTAGATGTTTGGGGCTACAAACAGGCGACCTTTGGACACGACTGCAAGCTGGGTACATAGCTACAAAACGCAACTCTCCCAAACCTTCTGAACATATACTTCTTTCCTCTGAATACTAAAGCCTCCATCCAATGAGTCTGCGCATGCCTGTCAAGTTGCATGTTTGGTGGCAATCCTGCTTGCACGCAAACTTCAGTAGCTCCCAGCTCCTGCGCTTCTGTTGCCCGCCGCAAGATCTCCTCAAGAGGAAGGAAATAACCTTCGTCGCTTTTGCCACCAGTCCGGCTGAAGGCGCAAAAGCCGCAGCGTTTCACGCAAACCTGAAACTGGTTTCACGCAACTCTCTTCAGAACTAAACAAGAGCTACTAATAGCTTCTTGCTCCTAGTAGCGATGTCCTTTGTTACTTAGTAGTGTCCTTGCTCCTGGTCGCGAAGGCCTCCAACCTACTTGCGATGGCCTCCACCTAATAGCGTCCAAGAAAGGTAAGCAACTGGGAGTTCAAGTGAGGGAAGAAAGGAAGAGTTGATAAGCCGCCCTTCAATCGCAACATGTCAATTCCCAAAGCAATATGCGGCACTGTGTAGAGGACAATCGTTGTGTGGCTGCCTGGGTGGGATTCTGCCTGCCAGGATCGCACAAACGTTGCGTAGATTCCGGTCTCTGTCGGAGATGCATTTTCGGTGTTTGCACAAATTTGCTTCGTGATGCTTCGTGTTGCTTTTACACTAGTCTCAGCGACTCGCGAGCTGCCAAAACCGTGAGAATGTGGGGAAGTCGCAAGCTTTGTTCTGCATTCTTCCAGTTTCGGAGCGCATGGCTTGCTGCAATTTGTGGTCGAAATGAACACGTTGCAGAAGTTGTGCATGTGCAACATTCTGTGAACCTTGAAGAAGCTACCAGGAACAGGAAGCTATTAGCAGCAAAGGGCATCGCTACGAACGGAGCAAGGACGCTACTAGGGGCGCTCCTGGCATTGCTACTAGGAACACTTCTTGCGGGTGGCAGCGAGCTTGGATTCATGATCAATGTCACCAGCTTGGGCCCCCTCTTTTTTCGGGTGGACATGGCTTGGCTGTCATTGGCTGCCTCTTTGGCGTTGGTCTTCTCAATACTGGTGCTTTTGAACGCCTGATAGCTTTCATGAAGTGCAAATGTGTGGCAAACATAGCACTTCCATTAGCAACTCCACTGCCGGCTCCCCCGCAATTCTTTTGTTCTTGAGACAGGCGACATTCGTGAAATTGATATTCCGGTTGACCACATAGGTCACTTCACCTCCCACGGCTCTGGATCTCATTTCATCAGCTGCTTGGGCGAGAGCCAACAAGTCAGGTCCAGATGCCTGAAGGAGAGTTTCGGCATCGGCAGCTGAAATCCTCGTGTTGTCCCAACATCACAACAGCGATGGCCTCCAACCTAAGAGCAAAGGCCTCCAACCTACTTTCTTCATACCAAAAAAAACAAATAGCATATCAACCAATTTGCATTCTTTGAGCAGAGAATTCAACTAACATCAAAGAAATAAACACAATACATAATAGAATATATTGTACACGTCAAATAACAAAAAACAAGCTTGTTTGCTGCAGGAGACTCACGATTGTTCTGAGCAGCATGCAAAATAGATTGGATACGAGTTGTCTGCTGTCTCGAAGACGAAGCAACTCCACACACCCAATAGCCGCTCGCTTTCCTCAATGCGAGCGGCTCCGAGCGGAGATGAGCAAGTCTTCGTGTGCACTGGGGACGGGTTCGGCAGGACCATTGGTGACGACTGCGGGCCACGACCTACCCTCAACAAAACGAGAAGACCAACTGCCAAAACGACTTCTTGAGAATAAACAAATGATTTCTTCAATGTTTAAATAAACACCACAAAAGCAGAAGAGTAAAGCATAAAGCTATTGTTGTCGTTCCTGGATTCAAAGTCGTTGGCAGCTTCACCAAATACCGTCGCAAACCTGTAGGTCCCATGGCAACTTCACAGATCGTCACCAAGGCGGCCTGTTTCTGCCAGTAAACATAAGTTACTAATAGCTTTCTTGCACCTAAAAGCGTCCTTGTTCCTAGTAGTACGGCCAGGAGCCCCTAGTAGCGTCCTCGCTCCTAGTAGCGATGCCCTTTGCTCCTAGTAGCTTCTTGTTACTAGTAGCTTTCTTGCTCCTAGTAAACCTTTCTTCCTCTTCTTAGTTTCTTTGTTTCTAATAGCAGGGGCCTCCAACCTAATTTTTATGTCCAAACATGAAACCATTGAACACGCACGGAGCATAGGTAACAATAGAGTATGTTAAACACCTTCTGCATACTTCTTCAATGGACAACCACGGAGGACATCTGCATGGTATTTAGTTGTTTCGTCTGTGGCACTCAAACCTCTTTTGGGGCATGTTAGCTGCTAGAGCTGCTTAGCATGCTTTTCTTTTCCCACTTGTTTGAAAAACTGCTCAAGTTGCCTTTGCAGGGTCCCCAAATTGCATTATGGACTAGAGGAAACTGGCCGCAGAAACCTACTGGCGGGGCTATGCAGTACCGGCCATAATGAAATGAACCATGCACCATGCTCAATTGAATGAAAGGACAAAGGAAAACTCCTTTTCTCCGAGTTGTTCACAACAGAGCAGAAGATTCCAAGACTTGCTCTTTGTGTAAGTCGGGTGAAATGAACAAAGACGATGAGCCACCACTCAGCCACTTCCTTGACAGCAAACAAAGGAAACAATGTGCACTTGTTTCTAGTAGCTTCTTGTTACTAGTAGGAAATTAGCTAGTAGCGATGGCCTCCAACCTAATAGCGATGGCCTCCACCTAGTAGCTTCTTGTTACTGTCTGCCTTATTTGTTTGACTCATGGCTGCCATGGCCTTCAGACTCTTTCCTCTCATCACGTTGCATGTCCACCGGAGAGACAACTTGATCTGATTCCTCGCGAAGTTGCATTCTCATGTGACAATGCATATTCTCTATCAAACACAAAAAACAAACAAATGATAGCAAAATGCTTTGGCCCATCGGCATTAAAACGGAGAGGAAACATGAAAAATGAGGTAAGGTCTGAGGTCTCCTTAAAGAGGCATCGCTAGTAGATTGGAGGCCGTCGCTAGTAGGTTGGAGGCCATCGCTAGTAGGTTGGAGGCCATCGCTACTAGGTGCCTTATCTTCCTTTCTTCGAGACTCTCGCTGAATCGATTCTCGCACCTGAAAGAATCTCTTGAATCGATTCTTGGCGCTGTTCAGGCGATCCAAGCCTCCGAAAGGCCTCAGTTGAAAAATCTCATGGAATGACTGTTCATGCGCAACATACAATAAATTGTTTAAAATTGTTTATCATCAACTATCATGACATATTTTACATGTAAAAAGAAGCTACTAGGAACAAGAAGCTACTAGGGGCTCCTGGCATCGCTACTAGGAGCAAGGACGCTACTAGGAGCATTTTTAACTCAGTTTAAATGGTCCTTTCATTCCTCCGAAAGCGCCTGTGCAGTGGAGGTTCAGGTACTCCAGCGCTGGTTGCAGGGAAGGCCTCCCGTTGACAAAGTGAAATGGGGGAAGGCAGGTTGGGAGATAAGCTCAAACTAGTGGCCTCTAACCTACTAGCAATGGCCTCCAACCTAATATCTTGCGTAAGTCTTGGTCAATCACAACTTCTTGTCGCAGGATGGGGAACTACTATAACTATATCCGTAGACCCTGCCTGCATCAGGGGAGCGCGCAAGCGAATACGCTGATGATCCCGTTTCAGGAAACCAGGAATACGCTATTGAAACAAGTGATCCCTCCAAGAATCTAGGAACCAAATGAATGGTGCTTCAAGGAAGCTCTCCCAACCCCCTTGAAGTTACTGAATTTTCCTCCGTCCTAGGTAGTAGCTTCTTAAGCGACTACTCACCCATACTAGTTACTTAAGTTCACTGCGGCCTCAACAGGAACTCGGTTGAATTTCATTCACACCTGTCTTCGGGAGCGTGGCGAGGTGTACGTCTCTTGGCCCTAAGAGATGTCAATTGGAGTTGGTGCTTCTTGTTACCAGTGTTGCCTTGCTCCTAGTAGTAAGGCCAGGAGCCCCTAGTAGCGTCCTTGCTCCTAGTAGCGATGCCAGGAGGTGTGGCACGGTCTGACGTTGCTTTTGGGCCATCGTGGTGCACCAAATGGGTAAAATCCGTAGCACACGGTCTTGAGTGGGTAGAAGTGGGAACAGCCTTGAGAATCGATTATGGAGGCCATTACTACTAGTGACAAGAAACGGCCATTACTAGGAGCAAAGACGCTACTAGGGCTCCTGGCATCGCTACTAGTAACAAGTGCCTTACTACTAGTAACAAGAAGCTACTAGAAACCAGTGCATCGCTACTAGTAACAAGTGCATCGCTAGTAGGCTAGTAGGCTGGAGGCCATCGCTCTTAGGTTGGATCAGTCGACCTACGGGTCGGCGGGTCGGCAGCTCCCCGGTTAACCTTCGGTTAGGAATCGAAGGCCCTGTGGGCGGTGCACGGGCCGCTGCCGAGAAAGCCTAGCTTCCGCCCGAAAGCCCAGGGGCCCACAACTGGGGAGAGGAAAAGAGGAAGGAGGGGAAAGGGAGACAAGGGGATGGGGGAGTTGCTGTTTTCGTAGCAGGAGGAGGAAGAGGAGGAGGAGGAGGAGGTGGTGGTGGTGGTGGTGGTCGTGGTAGTGGTAGTCGTAGAAGTCGTCGTAGTAGCAGTAGTAGTAGTAGTTGCTGTTGTTGTTGTAGTAGTTGTTGTTAGCAAACGGTGGGGCCAGGTTGGCGCCGTTGAGAGGTCATCTTTGCGATTTATTGCTTTCCGCGAAGCTCCACAACAAATCATCAAACATCGTGCTACAAGTATTATTATCCGAAATGTCAATTGAGTAGCCAAAGATTTGCTGTCTGTTGAATGGACACTTCATATTGGGCCCAATGTTTGCTGAAACCCGTTCAAAGGGTCACATCAAGGCTAGTTATGTTCCAACTTCAAGAGTTTCTACAAAAGCTGTGCAAACCGGTTGTGAAGTCCACAAGTTACTTGCATTTGATCCACTCGGGGTGTGACATGCCACGACGAATTGAACGCACTTAGCAGTTGGATCAAACAATAGTAGTTAGTATCGTGATACGCATATTTTTTACTATTGTTTGCTTCAAACAACTTTACATTTTTAATGGTCTATAGTTTAAACCATTATTTTAACAAAGTACTCTAATTGAAACATCCAGAAAGCAAAAGGTTCACATACCTCTGTACAACGCACATTAAGATCTGACATACTGAACCAATTTCCACTTTGACTTGGTCACTATGACCTCCACACAACATCTGAGCATCCATGATTTTTGGTTTGTGCCCTTTTCCATGGCCTTCCCAGCTGGGTGGGGCATGTCTTCTGGGGCCTCAACCAGAACAAAGGCTTGGACACGGTAATTACAACACATGCTCTATCTAATTAGTCATCTATGACACATGACATAGTTGATGCCTTGTTCAAACATGCGTAACATGTGCATTTGCTGTGGAAGAAAAACTGAGATCTCTGCTGGTGGAGCAGTTCCATGCAGTGGAAGCTGCTTTCCGTCTCGTCGTCGAAGAGCATGAGACTTTCCCTCTGGTGGCAGAAGTGCTTTGACCTCAGATGATCTCTATCTGTTTCTCTCCCTTTTGCCAGCGAAAACACAAAGCGCCAAAACATCAGGTGAACATCGGTGAACCCGAATGTGCAAGACATATTTGTCTTGTTGAAAGGGGGTGGAAGTAGGTGAACATTGAACATAGACTCCACGTGCAAGCTTCTAGATTTGATGTTGTGTCTCATGTCTCAATTAAGTTGACTTAGCTCTGCACCTGAGGCCCTCGGGGGATCACCAAAAGCCCTCGTTCATCCACAATGCGCTTCCGGCAGGAGAAGGAAGTTTTCTGGCAAGAAGACAGCGCATCGCTACTAGGAGCAAGGATGCTACTAGGGGCAAAGGGCATCGCTACTAGGAGCGAGGACGCTACTAGTAGCTCCTGGCCTTACTACTAGGAGCATTCTTATTACTAGTAACAAGAGCAATGGCCTCCAACCTACTGAAGGAAGTTTTCTGGCACCAACATCTGTTTCGCAAACAGGTCAAGAAAAACAATCACTCGCCTCGATATAGTCATCAGAAAGAGTGAAATAGACCTGCAAATTGATAAGTTAAAACAGGTTTCAAAAGAACAGATGCCCTTTGCTACTAGTAACAGGTGCATCGCTAATAGTAACAAGTGCCTTACTAGTAGTAACAAGAAGCTACTAAAGGAATCGTTTCGAAAGGTATGGGAAC